TTTTATAAATATCTAATACACAGGTTTAACCACTTCTAGGAAATCTGAAAATTTTAAACTAAAAAAATTCAGTATCAGATTAACTGGAAAGGTCTTAATGATGTTATGTTTGCCATATTCAGGTCTGAGCTGGTCACTCCCCACTTAGAGCCCTTCGGGGATTCCCTGCTCTCTGAGGATGAAGTCTGAGCTTCTTAGTCGGCCAGTCAAGGGCAGGCCTCTGAGAACTGGTTCCCACCTACTATACCCCAGCCTACAGCTTCATTTCCTGCCCCTGCCTGTCCCCTCCCAAGTCTCAGTTTCTCTCTGATTCACACTCTAAGAACTTACAATTCTTTGTCATTTCATGCTTGTCATATTTTTACATAGTGTTTTTCTGTGTTTTTACAAGTGTTTCCCTGCCTCTCATGCCGAGGCCCTCCTTTTTTTTCCACTTGACTAATAAGTTCAAGGGTCACTTTCTCCGGGACCTTCCATGCAAACTGCAAGACAGAGCTATTCTTTTCAATAATTTTCATTCATTCACTGTATGGCATTACATAACTGTTAGTTTATGTGTCAGCTCCCCCTACTCCGTTCTATGCTTTCTGAGGGCAGGAGCTATGCTTTTGTGCATCTTTGTACTCGTGGTGCCCAGTTATATAAGCTTTCAAATGAAGAAAAAGTTGCAGTTGGAGATGGGGGTTAAATTTCATTCATCCCAAGAGGCCTCCCTCAAGACCAATGACATTGGCCTTCCCTGCTACTTCCTGTCTCTGAACACACATTCACATAATGGAATACTTTACAACAATGAAGATGAAATGCAACTAGAGCTACAAGCAGCAACGTGGATGAGACATGTAGATTTATTCCAATTATGCACATTCCAAAAGTAGGCAGTACTAAATTGTAATATTTAGATACACATACACAGGAATATAAACTATAAGTAAAAGCAAGGAGATAATGATCATGAGGGAGAAAATGATGATTACCTAGGGGGAAGTTGGAGTGAAGGGAGTATGACGGGGAAGGAACACACAGGAGCCTAACGAAGGTTCAAAATATTCTATTATTGATCTTGGTGGCAATTACATAATGTATGCTCTGTAATTATTTGTTACACTGTACTTGCATGTATATTAGTTCTCCAATGCTGCTACAACAAACTACCACAAACTTAGTGGCTTAACATATAAACTTATTCTGTTAAAAGTTTGGTAGGTCCAAATCCAAAATGGGTCTCACCGGCTTAAAATCAAGGTGTTGGCAGGGCTGTATTCCTCTCTGCAGGGTCTAGGAGAAAACACCTTTTCTTGTCTTACCTATTTCCTAGAGGCTGCCTGAATTCTTTGGCCTTTCTAGCTTCAAAGCCAGAAATGGCTGGTATAATCTTTCATACAGGGCAGCATTCTGACACCGAGACTGATATTTCGGCCTCCCTCTTGAACATTTAAGGACCCTTGTGATTATTATTGATTGAGTCACCCAGGACATTTTCCATACCTTAAGGTTAGCTCATTAGTAACCTAAATTCCATTTTCTACCTTAATTCCCCTTTGCCATGCAATGTAAAATATCCACAGATACTGGGGACATGGACGTCTTGGAGAGGCCATTACTCTGCCTATCACAGCACACAATATGTACATTTCTGAATCTGTGCTCTACTTCTCAGTGACAAAAGGTTAGAAGTAAAATTTGGTATATAAACACAAAGAATTCCTATACAACCATGAAAAAGAATGACCCTTTTAAACTTAGTGTTATGGAATAATCTCTAAGAAGCATTTAAAAAGTAGTGTTAGAACTACTGTGTAAAGTATGCTGTCATTTCTGCAAAAAAGTAAGAGGAAAAGCATATCTGTATGTTTCTCATTTTATGTGCTCAAACTATATATGAAAACCAAATTAAAGCAAGGGAAGGAGCTTTTCTATTTGCCTAAGAAGTACTTCTCAGTGACCTAAAATCAGGAGGTTTCACCAACCCTCTGAAGATAATAGTAAGGAATCAGTGCTAGCCCTTGAAAAGACACACAGAATTGCATGGAATTTAGAGAAGATAATATGGAATTACTATGCAAATAAAACCCTTTCCTGGCAATCATATCTTTAAATAAATCACTAACAAAATAAAAAAGAATGTCATGCAGATGGAAAATTACACCATTCACTTTACCCAGGATGTGAATTCTGTGGCAGAATTCAGAATTGCAAAGAAAACAATAGATAAATACAATTAGTTATGTAATGTTTGGGAACCTCCTGGAGAGCAGCCAGCCCCCTGGAATAAGGCCAAGCACGATGACATCCCAGGGGAGCCATCGATGGGAGGGAGATCCCAGCACCTGTGATGTGGGGGCCACTGGGCCATTTCCAGCCTATATCTGAACACTAATGTACCAATATTTCCTCCAGATCCACTAAGAAGTCTGGGGTAGATGATGCTGATCTGAAGTATGGAAACAGGTCAATCCAGAAATTTGTAGTGCATTCTACATTCATCCTAGTGCCATCTTGAGAATCCTGCATCCATGCACAAGGGAGAGACCGGATCAAACTAGGATTCACTCACTCATTCATTCATTTGTTTTCACTTATCTGCTTATTCATTTAATCAGTATTTACTGAGTGGCTTTGTCTTTCAAGTACTAACAGTGTAAGACACACAATTTTTTAAAACAGGTAAAACTATACTGTTTTGCTTAGGAATTAATACATTGGTGGTAATACACAAAAATAAGAAAATGACTGTCATAAAAGTCAAGGTGATGGCTACATCCAGGGGAGGTGAGGGAAATATCATCAGGAAGGGACACACACCTAGGGTAAGTGGAAAATGGCACAGTCTTGGATTGGGCAGTCCATTCTAAACTGCCTGACCCCTGTACACAAAGAGAAGAGTGCCTGTATAGATATGGACTGGAAACATGCTGGTTATAACAGAATAGTGGAATTTTTGCACTTCACGATACTAATGATTGTGTACTCTTATTACTCTCCCTCCAAGTTTAAAATAACCACCGCAACCATATTCCTGGGAGACCTACAAAGAGGTAAGTAGCACAAACTATCCTGAAAATTAAGCCCGTTTTCTTTTTTTTGTAAGTCACATATCTGTAGTTTCTTTTTTTTCTTTTTTTTAAACCATTGTTTCTTTTTTTTCCTCCCCCCACCCAAGTTATTTGTATTAGTTAGAGGCTAATCACTTTACAATACTGTAGTGGTTTTTGCCATACATTGACATGAATCAGCCATGGATTTACATGTGTTTCCCATCCTGAACCCCTCTCCCACCTCCTTCCCCATCCCATCCCGCTGGGTCATCCCAGTGCACCAGCCCTGAGCATTTATCTGGTGCATCCAACCTGGGCTGGCGACCTGTTTCACACTTGATAATATACATGTTTCGATGCTGTTCTCTCAGATCATCCCACCCTCGCCTTCTCCCATAGAGTCCAAAAGTCTGTTCTATAC